GCCACAGCCAAGAAACCTGTCGGAGATAAGGTCATTCTTGGGGCTCGCCACCTATTACCGTCGATTTGTAAAGGGATTCAGCGAGATTGCACGCCCCCTCACCCAACTCACTTCCCCCAAGAACCCCTATCAGTGGACGGAGGCCTGCCAGACGGCCTTCACCACCCTCAAAGACCACCTCACACACACCCCCACACTGGCTTTCCCCGATTTTACCACCGACTTTATTTTGGACACCGACGCCTGCAGCAGCGGGCTGGGTGCGGTGTTGTCGCAGGTGCAGGAAGGGGTGGAACGGGTGATTGCGTACGCCAGCCGGACCCTGAGCGGGGCCGAGCTGAACTACTGTGTGACCCGTCAGGAATTGTACGCTGTGATCTTCGCGTGTAAACAGTTTCGGCCGTATTTATACGGCAGGAAATGTCGAGTGCGCACGGACCATTATACTCTGCAGTTCCTCCTCACCTTCAAGGAACCGCGGGGGCAGATGGCCCGATGGCTGGCGCAGCTGCAGGAGTACAACCTGCAGATCGAATACCGGGCGGGGCGGACGCATGCAAACGCGGACGCATTATCACGGCGACCCGCGGTGTGTGCCGAGACGAGGGCGGAGGAGGCCTGCCCGTGCTTCACGGGGGGACGTTGCCGACAGGCAACGGACCCCCGGGAACCCGCTGAACCTAACCCCCCCCCGGCGAGAGAGAGTGCAGTATGCGCCACAGAGACCCCCACAGGTGGAGGCGCGGACCCAGTCGGCCGCCCGGCGAGCGCAGGGCCCACGACTCGGGACCCAGTGGACCACCCCGCCCCGATCGGACGGATCCAGGAGGACGTCGGCTGCGCCTTCCCGGGCCTGAGCGACGAGCAGCTGAGGCAGACCCAGCAGCGGGATCCGGATCTGGCGGCGGTGGAAGCGGCCCTGCGGGAGGGGAAAAGCACCCTACCAGGGCCCTGGAGCGGTTTGTATGCCCGGTTGTGTGTGCAGAACGGGGTGGTACGGGAGTTAACCGAGGCCGGCCAGCCGGGGTGCATCTGTGTTCCCGCCCAGGTGCGACCCCAGCTGCTACGGCTGGTACACGACCACCCGCTCGGGGGCCATGACGGGGAACGGCGCACTCGGGAGACTCTGCGTCGCCAGTATCTCTGGCCCAAATTGACGCAAGATGTGGCCGCCTGGGTACAGGGCTGCCGCGCTTGTCAGCAGTGCGGGCCGAAACCGGCACGATACCAAGTACCCCTAAGGCCGTTCCGCGTCAGTCGGACTAACCAGCTGGTCGGCATCGATCTCCAGGGGCCATTCCCACGATCCCACCGGGGCAACCGCTATATCCTCGTAGCGGTGGAATACTTCACCCGCTACCCCGTGGCGGTGGCCATCCCCGATAAAACGGCCCTGGTAGTAGCCCGGGCGTTCGTGGAGCACTATGTACTTAAGCACGGGATCCCGGAGCGAGTCCTTACCGACCAGGGTAGCGAGTTCGAGGCCGAGTTGTTTCAGGCGCTGTGCCGGGAGTTCGGGATCCAGAAAGACCGAACCACGGCGTACCACCCCCAGGCGAACGGTATGGTTGAACGTATGAATCAGACTCTGGCCGGAAAGCTCAAGCGTATGGCGGCCTCAAACCAACGGGATTGGGACGAACACCTCCCCTACGCCCTGTTCGCCTACGCCACCACGGTGCACACATCGACGGGCCAAACCCCGTTCCTAATGATGTTTGGTCGTGAGTCTCGTCTACCCGCAGACTTGCTGTTCGGCATTCCTCCACCCCAAACGGAGGAAGGAAGTCGCCCCGTGGAACATCTGATGGAGACCCTACGAGGGGTCCGGGACCGGGCCTACCCGCAAGGGGAGGCCGCGCATCGGCGACAGGAACAGAGCACCCGACCCCGCGTGGAGCCCCCCCTTTTCTTGACAGGTACCAAGGTGTGGCTACACACCCCTCGCGTCGGGGCCGGACAGGTGGGGAAGCTGACCACCTACTGGCGGGGACCCTGGACCGTGGTACGGCAGATCTCTCCCTGGACGGTACTAATCCAGGGTGGAGAGAGGGGCCGAGAAACGGTGGTTAACGTCCGCCGCTTAAAACCATGGAGGGCAGCCCCGGCGGGGGAGAACCTCGCTGCCCGAGTACCGCGAAATCCCGGTGCCCCTGCGCCACCCGTGCTCGGGGGCCTCGCGCACTACATGGGCCCCGCCGTGCCCCCAGCCCCGAGGCGTCCCGGCCCCGCCAGAGGACGGCGGGGACGCCGCCCCTTAAACCCCGCTGCCGCGGAGTTTGTCCCCCAGCCCCCAGGTGCCGAGGGATCGGAGGAGCCACTGGAGTGGAGAAGGAGACCGCTGCAGGAAACCCCGAGGACGGAGCCACCTCCCCCGAGGCCAGCCACGAGATCCGGGCGGATCCCCCGGACCCCGCAGCGCTACCTCGTGGGCGCGGCCCAGGCGAGGTGCTCCAGTCAACCCGGGACGGGGACTGGCACCTCGGGGGGCTATGTGATGCCGCCGCCACGGAGCCGATCGGCGGGTGGCCCACCTGCGATCTCGCCGCTCCGAGCGGCGAGGCCGACATTGCTCCACCCCACCACCTCCCCACCCCCCCCCCCACCGGAACACACACGCACGCACTCCCCCCCACCATTAGAGCGCGTGGGGAGACACCCTGGCCGACAGGTTTTCACCCAGAAGCCCTCGTAAAGGGATAATCTTCACGGTTTCCTGCAGCCAGGGAATTGGACGGTCTCCCCCGACGCTAACACCCACCGCGGCGCCGTGACTTTGGTTGTAATTACATGGTCACGACGGGGCTGCCGAGCCACCGCGGGTAGACAGCACACACAACACACACGGGTCAGCAGGCAGGTAGGAGGGCAGAGCCACGAGCGGCGGGAAAGCAGGGTCGCCCTCTGGCTGGAGGGTCGCTGAGCAGGTAAATTTAGATGCGGACGTCGCTGAAAGCAACGGCCCGGGGGATGCTGGGATACAGATGGGCCTACCGATTGGCGGGTGATCCCAGCGAGCTGATTGGCCCGCGAGTCGGCACCAGGTAGCCCCTTTGATGTAGAAAGAATAAAGCGGGTCAGGGCGAAGGAAAAAGGTTCTCTGGCTACTCGAGTCGACCCCAGGTCCGTCAACTCCCGAGTCCAGCCGCGCGAACGTCCGTGGGACGTATCGACGCGCCGCGAGGACCAGACGGCAGTGACGACGAACCGTGAGTAAGAGAGAGAGAGGGAGTTGGGACTTAGCTTAAGAGCAAAACAGGAGAGGGTAAAGGGGAGGACAGGTAGAGTGTAGTGCCGACTATCGAGAGATAGATCGGTCCTGCCCCGCTGATCCCGACTGACTCGGTTAAATAAGGGCTCGCCGACGCGGTGGAATAAATCGTCGGCGGTTACATAACGGACTGGTGTGGTTTTTGTGGACGCGTGGGTGCGCTTGCTGTCGCGGTGGTCGTTACATAACAGACTGGTGTGGTTATTGCGGAAGCGTGGGTGCGCTTGCTGTCGCGGTGGTCGTTACATAACAGACTGGTGTGGTGGTTTTTGCGAGGGTGTGGAAAGAGAGTGGAAGCGTGGGTTCGCTTGCTGTTCTCGGTGGTCGCCGCGTGTGTGGAGCGGCGCCGCGTGGATTGTGTGCGCTACGAACCGTCGGCTGCGGACTCCTGCGTTGCGAGCGGATACCCGTCTCGCACGCATGCCCATCGCATAGCCCTTTAAACCCGTTTAAACCAATCCCCCCAAGCGTCGGAGTGAGCACGAACGACGTCGCTTACCCTCCGACCTTTGACCCCCTGTTACCCACGTGTGATTGGTGCGTGGGACTGCGCGGGCGGGGAGCGTCGCGTTTGGGTGCCGGCGAAGCGCTAGCGGGTCCCAGGGGGGTCGAGTGGGATGCCCCACCGGCAGGAGACCCGGACTCGGGGGGGGACGGCACAGGGGGGGAACAGGAGCGCGACGACCTTTCCCCGCCAGGGGAGGAGTGCGGCGGCGGCAGCTCCCACACTAGTGGAGAGTCTGGGAGCGTCGGTACTTCGCGGACAGGGTCGCAGGCAGGGGAGATCCCGGGGGCCGGCGACCCTAACACCCTCGAAGGGACACTTGTAAATCGAGCGTTGTTGCCGTTTCACAAATCTCTGGTTTTCATCTCTTGTGGGAGTCGTCCCACTTCATCCGGAGGGCAGCACAACAACGCAGAGTTATTTACTTATCGTCTCTGAACTTTTATATATATTAAACAAAAAATGTTTGTCCATATTTCAACAACGCGTCGCCCCGGGTGATGATTCGCGCGAGGAGACGGGGCCAGGGCGGACCGGCTAACAAAAGTTGGCTCTGCACTTTAAAGTGGACAAATTCCGGCGCAGGAGAATTTTTAAAACCCATGAGTTTGACATTCCTCTCAAATATTACTGAACAGATGCGGCAAGCGCTGCCCTCTGCTGCGTGTGTGTGTGTGGCCAGCGGCAACTTGAATAGGGGATCTCAAGAGGGTAGCTCTGGGACATCCGCTCGCTTCCGCGGGCCCCGTTCTCCATCGCAACAACAAGCGACGCTCGTGCCACTGCTCTGCGAGATGTCCCGAACGGATTTTGCCCCCCACCCCCCCCCCCCCGCGTGAAAACGCGACAGCAGCTGGCAGCGCGATCACAACCATGGTGGGGGGGGGGGGGGGGGGGTTGGGGTAAAAACGACGACACGAATTCTGTACAAAGAGCGCCGCGGCTGCTAGCGGCCGCGGCACGGGAGGACGTCGGGAAATCCGCAACGAGGTGGCCGCACTGCACGAAGACTTCAGGGGGCACACGGGCGGAGAAGCAACAAGATAAGCGGGTCCAGAACTTGGGCTCCGACCCAGCGATTGCCCAAGCTCTGCGGGCCCTACCACGTTGCGATTTGCACTGCTAACTCCATGAATGCGAAAGGGGGGTGGTGGTGGTGGTGGGGTAAACCGGAGCGCCGGGCGAAACAACAGAATCCAGTCTTTTATTTTCTGAACGGGGGGGGGGGGGGGGGGGGGGGGGGGGAGAAATACAATCGGTGACACGGCCGTTAATGGAGTGACGGGAGTGCGTGCGTGAGCGGGTGCGTGGGTGCACGTGCCACATCAGAAATGAGAGGAAACTCCAAGGATGCGAGATTATTTACACGGAACGTGGAGGGGGGGGGTCCCCCCCCCCCCCCGTTAGACGCGCGCTCGTCCGCGATGGTGAACGGTCGCGTGGCCGCGTCGCCGCGACGGACAAAGATTCCACGAAATGAAAACTGCAACAAAAATTAACCCCCACCCCCTTTCATCGAGTAAGCGGCCGCGTTAAATGAGTGCGCGCGCACACGCACGCAACAGCGTAACGACACACGGCACGTGAGCGTGCACAAAAAAAAAAACATGCAGTGATGTTTCATTGTTAATTATAAACTCTCCTCCTCTCCCCCCCCCCCCCAAAAAAAATTAATCCCCAGCGGACGGGGTGAGCTACGATATATAGAAGTAGCGCGCTACCGATTTACAATCGTCAGCAAATTGAGAATTTGCAAGTACTTAACACCACGATTAACGACAGCCACGATTTTTTTTTTAAACAGCGAAATTATATTTTTTTCACCCCGGCCGCTGGTAATCCGACTGCGGTTTGTTTTAGCGCGGAGTTTTTTTTTATTTTGTTTTAATTTTTCTCAACTCATGAAGATTCCCGCTCAGTGAGGGGTGCGTGGTGAACGCGTCTGGAGCAGAAAAACAAACTAAATTTTTTATTTTTTTTATTTTATTTTGCCAGATAAGGCCCCACTGAACTGTTATACACAGCTCTTAGAAGCGATCTGGCTATCACAAATGATAGCTCAACGAAGTGGTCTTATCATCGTCGTGTGGAAATTTAAAAGCAGTAGCCAAATACTCTAAGGGCGTGATGTCGAATCTAAATGTGGAGGGGAAAAAACCGGAGCAACCCGAGAAAATTCCACGCGACCACGGGGAGAGAGAGAGAGACGCACGCAAACTCTAAATATACAGCATCCAGGTCGGGATCGAACCCACGACGTCCTGCATACCAGGCGAGGTAGTAAACACCTGGCCACTGTAGCCGCCGCGGATGAAAGAATATTTAACCCGCGGCGGCCGTCCTGCCAAATCCACACCCGGAGGGTAAAAAAAAATAAAAGAAAAATCTCTCCGCCCTTTGGAATCCAACCCATCGTTAAAATTATCTTCGCATTCTCTTTGCGATGGTGGGCCAGGGGGTTGGGGGGGTTGGGGGAAGGAAGAAGGCATGCAACGTTATAACTTTGTTAAATCACACGGGTGGAAGATCACAGTCATGCATCAACAAAAGGACAAGCTTCTTCTACGGAGAGCGAGCGAGTAATTCAGCAATTCGCGGGACGGCAGGAGAGAAATGGCACACCCCCATGACGACGACACGGACATGCGCGCGCGACAACCTGGAACGTCGACTTTGCCATTTTGTAAAAACCGCACGCACTCACGCCACGAGGTGGGGTGGGGGGGGGCGCGGCAGCGGTCACGTGAACTCGCAGAGCCTCTTCCCCCTGGCCAACGGTGAGACCGTACCTCCTCGTCACAAACGGCAGGCGGCGAGTTGCAACGCGCAGAGGTGCGCTGCTGCTGCGCCCGTAGGGAGGGTGCGTCACGTGACCACCGCGTTCAACGCCCCCCCCCCAGCCTTGCCCAGATCACCAGGCTCTAAAGCCGACTGTGTACAAGACCTTCCCCTTCTTTGTGCAGTCGGCGTAGGACCGTCGCGCCAAACGTGTGACCTTCTGCGACAGGATTCCCGTGAGCCGCCCTCGCTGCGGTAACGCCAGTGCCTCGCGAGTTATTTTGTTTGATGCACGCATCGCGCACGAGACCCAACGACCGCCAAGACAAGCCCGGATGGTGTGGGAGGGGGGGGCGGCAGCAGCAGCAGCAGAGGGCATTCGCGACTGCCGCCCTGTGTCGACGAGCCCGTTGGGGGCGGGTTGGCGGTCTCAACGACGATGCGGCCGGAAGGTTCGGCTCAGGGGCTGGTGGTCTGGACAAGGCCGAGAGAGGACGTCGGCGCTTGCGGTGTTGGCGATCGCGCCTCGCAACGTAAAGGCCGAAGGGTGCGTTGGGGGGGGGGGGTGTACCGAAGGAAATCGAAGGGCAAATAGTTTGCCGGCAAAAAAGCTGTTTCCGCAGTCGCCGATTGCGATGGGAAAAAAAATTAACAAAACTCGTGTGCCTTAAAAAGTATCTTAATAATGCTCCATTGGCCCAAAAAATGTTGAACGGATCCCATTGCAGCGCCCCCTCGCGAGCACGACTGGGGATGGCAACTTTCAGTCGTGGCGCGGGCAGAGGTGACGCGAACGGCCCAACCGATGACATCAAGCCCTATCCTCTCCCTTAGAGAGGATAGGGCTTGATGAGAGAGAAAGCCCGTCGTGCAGTGAGCACGGCTCACACGTGGTAACAGTGCATTGCATTGATCAATCTGTTACGCTGGGTGGGAAGTGTGTGTGTCTGTGTGCGGGAAAGGCAAGGGCCGATTTCTGGGACAGACTTTGGAGGTGGTCTGCACGGGGATCTGGCGACCGAGGGGGAAGAAAAGACCGAAGGTCAGATGATGGGGATACCAGTAGGGGCAGATCTATGGGTCTCAAAGCGAGTCTATGGGTCTCTGTTGGCAGCGTATGCGAATCGTACAGGAGACAAAGGCCAGACGGTCGGATGCGCGAGTGAGACTGTCAGGGCAGACTGACGAGTTTGTGTGTGCGTGGGTCTTCCTGTGTGCGAGTCTATAGTCTGCGATAGGAATCTGCAGGATCTCTATGCGAGCCTAAGGCCAGATGGCGGGATGGGCGAGTGAGCCTGGAGGCTGCCGCGCGTCTCGGCCGTGCAGCAGCAGCAGCCGCTGCCGCAGGATCTGGCGGAGAGGGGAGACTGCGTTGGAGTGTGCGGGAGTGCCGTTAACGTCCTTAGTCGCGTTGCCGTTGTGATCTTGTCCTGACCGAGCGGTTAACAATCACCAAACGAATTCTGCTGCCCTTCCCAATTTGCCATTATTGCCCATGGTTGCCCACGGTTGCCCATTGTTGATTCCTTGCCGGCCAACGATTGCCGTAAAAACTATCGCCCCCGGTGGGATCACGGTGTTAAGTTATTGCGCCAGTGAGCTAAAACAAGCTAAGCCCGCACGAACGCGCGCAAAGAGGGATAGGAGGAAACAAGGCGTTTGGAAAAGGAAAATAAAAATTACACGTAATACTCAAAATTAGAACGATTACATTATTATCACACCTACACATACGTTCGTTCAATATAGAATTGTGTGTGCGTGTGCGTGCCCTCGCGTGCATCTTCGAAAGCAGAGGGTTGGTGGTGGTGGTGTTGTTGTGGTGGTGGTTGCCGATGCAGCTTTGAGCAGGACAGAAGCGGCTGCACAAGCCGGGCCAAGGAGGAAGCGGCAACGCTAAACCTGGGGGGAGGGAGGGGTGGCGGCGGGAGAGAGGAAAAATAACAGAGGAAATCGGAATAAACATTGGGGACAGACTCACAGGCACACATAGCTCCAACCAACAGGACTGGCGTTCTCTTTCTATACCAAGCACAGATTCGGACGAAGCTTGGAATCCTGCTGCGGTAACATCTAAGGGATGGAGCACCCGAGTTCGTTCACACCTCTCACTGCCGCACCCGACAGGATCCCGAGTGGAGCACCTCCCATCAGCACGGTTAGCTACGCACGGTGCGGAAGAAGCTCAACGCACGTACGTACAACATACACGGGGTTCACCGATGATACAGTTCCTCAGCGATTCACTCACGTCAGGGCTAGAAGCACGGAGGGACGGACCGCCCTCCCCCCCAACGCGTGTTTATGTTGGGGCGATGGCGGACAATGCGAGCCGTTTCATTGTGAGGCAGATCGCAAGTTGCTTACAGGGTCACCGCAGCTAGCGTCGTGCCTGGCAACTTGTAAACCGTGTGAAGGTGCTGCCCTGCAACTGCTTGGCGGCATCGCCGCCGGCGGAAGGGAGTTTTCCCCAACTCAATAGTAGCTCCTGAGGCCCTCTTCTAGAGGGGTACTTGGCCTAGTCTTCCGCGCAGGTCAGACTTCTCGTTATGTGTGCGTGTGATGAACTTCTTTCGCACCGTACGTAGCCAGCCATGCTAATCGGAGGTGCAGTGTTGAGTGTACTGGCAGTGATGGGACTATGGGCAATGTTAGTCTATGGGCAGTGTTGAGTCTATGGATCCTGTTAGTATTTGGTCAGTGTTGAGTCTCTGGGCAGTGTTGAGTCTATGGGCAGTGTTCGTCTATGGGCAGTGTTCGTCTATGGGCATTATGCATGTGTATTGAACTTCCTTCGCACCGTACATAGCCAATGGCGCTAAATCGGAGGTGTGGAGACGAGCCACCCACACTTCGCCCCACGCAACCTGCCAATCACAGCCACATTGTGGTGAACCCGTATGACATCGCTGGGTGTGTGGCGGGAGTGGGGCCGAGGAGACGTAAGAATACCCGCTTCATTGTTGACCACTGGCGTGCCAGGTGGCAGCGTTAAACCATTGCACCCCAACAGGGAAAGGGGGGACAAAATAAAACTCGTGCATTTAAAAGCTTTGAAAGAGTCGCTTATTTTTTTGTTGGAACGCTCCTGGCGAGTGTTGTTGATACTAACCGCCGGGGGGGTGGGTGGGTGGGCGGGATGATTCAAATCGCAAGACCCGCTTAGCAGTGGGGGGGGGAGGAGGGAGGCACGCGTCTGGCACACGGCTTGACAAGAGGATAGAAAAATAAACCGTCGCTCAAACGTAAACACAAACGCGGGAGACGTTAAGCCACCTCGGCAACGCTATGAACCCCGAGCGGGCGGGCGGGCGCGGGATGAAAGTCGATCGCATCCAGGGGGCCCCACCCCGTCCGCGTGAAGCGATCGCATGGAAAAACCCGCTCGCGATCACCGCACATCGGCGACACAGGATACCGGCTACGGTTAGCGGCCGCCTCGGCGCGTGCGGCGGCCGCGGTCATAACCGCAGCAAGCTAGAGCGAGCTGCGGTTATGACAACAAACAATAAATGTCCGACGGTCGGACATTTTGGCGTTTTAATTCGTGTGGGAGAACGGTTGCGGTGCGGCCGCCGAGGTAATCCCTTCGGACGCAATGTCTCATTTGCAAGCGTGTCCCAGCTTGCAAGGGGGGAGGAGGGGGTGGGTGGCCAGCACCACACCCCGACCCCTTTGCGTCCCCAGCGCTGATGTCTACCATGCACCTAAATGCACCGCGTATTTGGTTTGCGGCCGAGTCAAAACAAGGCGAGGCCCAGGACCGGGTTCAGATATTCGTCACTCACGCACTGTTACTATTGGTGGCGAGTGGGAATCGAAATTGCATCACCGGGTTCGTAACGCGGCGCACAAAACGCTGCGCTACCGCTTACACAAAGACAAAGATCCCCCATGTAGCCTGGAACAGACTGTTGAGGCAAGTGCTCCTAGCATGGAGCACCAATGAAGGCCGGCACGGCACGCGAGGTGGTGGGTGGGGCCAAGCACTACGCCCGGCCACCTTTGTCACCCAAGCGGCGATGTTTACACGCCGCACAACAGGTACACTCATGACGAGGCTGATTCGACCTGAAGGAGGCCCAGCAGGGGTTCAGATAATCGTCACCGATGTTGGCCGCGAGCAGGAATCGAACTCGGGTCGCCGGGCTCGGCACGCTGACCGCTTGGACTACTGCTCCCTAGTACCAAAGACAAAGATCCCCCGGGTAGCCTTAATAGACTGTTGGGGCAAGTGCTGTTCGCGAGCACCTATGAAGGCTGGCACAGCTCACGAGGGAGTGGGTGGCCAACAGCACGCCCGGCCGCCTTTGTCTCCCCAGTGGTCATGTTTTATACACCAGGCACTCATATGAGGCTGAGTCAACCTAGTGGAGGCCCAGGACCGATTAAGATAATCGTCCCCGTTGTTGGCCGTGAGCGGGAATCGAACCTCAGTTCGCCGGGTTTGAAGAGCAGCGTGGTAACTGCTACACGACCGCTCCCCAAACACACGCACACACAGGGCTCATGTTCGCACTCACAATCTCACAATCTCACACAGACCAACCCACCTCGCACGCAGCCTTACCTCCGTATACTAAGTTAATTAGTATTGCGCTGACGAACCTTCTCCTTGTGATTGTTGGTGGAGTTGCTCTTCCTGCCAAGACAAAAGGGACACAAAGCAGGAGTGGCACGCACGTGTGTGTGTGTGTGTGTGCGACGAGGTTCAACTTAGCTGCGGTTAAATTTTGATTTAAAGCTTTCGTGACATGCAGTAATTCATATTCTTAGTTCTTTCGGTAAAGTCACGTCGAAGGGAAACAATAATTTTTATTGGTTTTTATATATTTTATTATTTTATTGTTTCCCTTCAACGTGACTTTACCGAAAGAACTAAGAATATTAGCTGCGGTTACTATATTGTACATCGAGTACAGCCTGTTTCTCCTATAACGCGGTGGGAGGTGCGTAAAGAGCACAGTCCACGATAATGCGCGAGATGCGTACGCAGGCCGAGCAAAGACTGAGGGCGCGTGGCTAGCATCTAGAAGCATCCAGCAGCATCCAAATGCCTTGTGCACATGTTATGCAGAGGCAGCCGCGACATCCACTCGTTCCTAATCGCGCGACGCAGTTCAGGTCGCTCGATCGCGTTATATCAAATTCGCATCCCGTGTTAACCAACATTCGACATCCCGTCATCTATCCAATTCGCGTCACGAAAACAATACGCTGCGTCTATAGCAGAAACACGTATGTTGAACTTCTTTCGCGCCAGACATATTGGCGCTCTCGTTCTCATGAACGTGGCGCCGCTGCTTTTCAAAGACCACGACAAGCGACTGCGCTAGCTACACGAGAGGCGCCCATGTTGCCTCGCGTGTGCGCGTTGCGCGATCCCAACCGAGCAAAATTTGTCAAATGCGGTACCGTGACGCCGGCACAACACGAGCGGAACCCTCCCCCCCCCTCTTTCAGCAACGACGTCGCGGGGGATCTACAACGTCCTCTGGCGCGTGGCGGGTACGATTAACACGCCACGCACAATATTCACCAGGGCGGCCCGCCGGGTTCGAATGGCTTGGCCCGAAGTGGTTCTTACCGCTCGACAGCGTCAGTTCGCGATATGCACCCTTGGATGATATTGGTATTATGGATGATATTGGTATTATGGGTGACATTGGTATTAAGGATGATATTGGTCGCGAAAGCCTACGTATTGAACTCGCTCTCGGGGAACCCGATTACGAACCGAGTTCGAATATCCGGCCACGGCTAACGTCAGTGGCGAGAAATATCGAAAAAACGGTCCCGGGCCTTGCTACCACCATCATTCATCCAACTGCTACTGGGGAGGCTAGAAGATGTTAACTACCTCGCCTGATATACAGGAGTTCGTGGGTTCGATCCCGTCCCCGACGCCCCCTGCATATTTGGAGTTTGAGGTCTCTCTCCCCGTGCTTGCGTGGATTTTTTCTCCGGATCCTCCAGTTTTTCCCCTCAACATTGAGAATATTTGGCCGCCGATATAAATGTTCACATGGTTGGATGATGATCCCACTTCGTTGGGCTATCGTTCATTTGTGATCGCCAGGGTCGCTCCTGAAACAGAGCTACGGAGCTCAGTTGAGGCCTTACGTGGCAAAACAAAAAAGTTTAGTTCGTGTGGCAAAGTATGGTTAAAACACAGACCCCCCCCGCCGCCCCCCACTCCGCCACGTGACCCCCCAAAACCGGGAAGTGCGACCGGAGGGAATACTCACAGGGGAGCTGGGTCGTCATCTGTTGACAAGGCGAGCGCGTGGGCAAATGTCACCGTAGGAGAGAGGAGGAGGAGGAGGAAAGAGAAGAAGAAAAAGAGTTAGGGCACAAACTTGGGCGCAGTTCCAACCAACCCGTGCGTGCGTAACGGCACCGCGTGCCACGACGACCTCTCGAAACACTGACAAGAATCACACGAGGCGCGGGGCGCGCGAACGACGCAGTCGTGCCTCCCACGCGGTGCTTTCCGGCACGACTCCCCGAGGTTTTCGCCGTGCGTGCCGGAAAGGGGGGCAAGGGTGGAAGCCCGATTCTTCGGAAAGTAAAACTTCCCGAAGAAGCAGCGGCAGCAGCATCGCACCAGCGGCATGCGCAGCGGCTCGCCCAGCGGACCCGTCGGGACATCGCGCGTGGTACGACAGTTCAATCGTCACATCCACACGATTAGTGGGAGGGGGGGGGGAAACGATGGAAAGGTCACCGGGCCAGAAATGGATTTTGCCGCCAAATTTTGCTCGTTTTGGCAAAGGCCGCTGGGTAACACAGCGGAACCCGAGGGCGGCACCGGTTAATACGTGCGCGCGATGCGTCACGGCGGGCAGCCTCACGGGGGGCAAGTCGGTGGGATTGAGTTGGATACCAGGGGGTATGGGAGACCCTCGGGATTTATACCGGAGACGAATAACTCGGAGGTGAAATCGAAAAGGTGTGTGCGTGTGTGCGTGTGTGCGTGTGTGCGTTCCCGTGGCCACGTAGAACAGAATGCAAAGGATGGGAGTAGGGTAGCAAGGCAGGTCGGGAAGAAAGCCGGCAAATTACAGATCTATTTATTTATTTATTTTAAAAAGTGGCAGATGCCGAGCGGCGTCTTTCATGGCGATCGGTGGCGACCTCACACGCGGTGACTTCGAGATGCTGCGGATTGTAATTGTGCCCTGTGACTGTTTAATTAAAATTTGATTGAGCTGAACGAGTTCTTGAAATTTAAAGAGCTTGGCTCAACTGTTCTTAGCTAATCTGTACAATAGACTTTGGGATTCATCATCATCATCAGAAGGCACTGCTTGGATGATCTCATCAAGCCCCATCTCTCGCGTTGCTGCGATGCAACATTTGAATTTACATGGCTTCTAAAACGCAGCCGCATCTCAGCGTAACAACGTTTTATTTTTTGTTTCACGTACCGACATTCCGGGGTTCAACGATGGATAATTTTAATAATAATCGATGACAGAGGTGCCATCGCAATTCGTCCTTCGTGGATGCCCGTTGCTAAAATATTTCAGTTTAGCGGGACGATCAGAATTCTTGCAACGTAAAGTCCTCGCTTGCATAATACCCGGGGGGGGGGGGTGGGAGGGGGTTCATTTTAAAAAAATCGGGTCGTCACCAATTAATTACAAGAACAGTGTAGCCATCATGGGCGATTTCAACGAAACAACGTCACAGTAAATTTTAAGCATAATCGACCCCCGTGTGATGTTGTTTGTGTGGCGGCAATCTCGGCGGCTTATTTGGGTTCAGTGGCGGAGGTTCAGGTTGGGGGCCTCGCTCTGTGTTGGCGCAGGGGGAGAGACCGCAGGAAAGCACGGCATGATATTAAACACAGACACACGCACGCGTGCTAGCACACGCGCGGACGCGCACGCACAGCCATAAGCAACGCGCAACACGCCATCTGTGCACACACACGCCGACACACAGAATAGATAACACGGCGCAAACACACACACACACCGACTCACTTCAGCAGTGGTTAACAATTCACAAACGCAGCCGTTTCGCTTGCTTTGCCTTAATTGTTTAATTTTCCCCAAAAAGATTGCATCCCCGATTGTATTGTCGGCGTCCGAATCGTCGCAAGAGACGAAGCGCGCCCGCGCTGTACCCCTCGCAGAGCAGCGCGGTACCGCTGGGAAACCCACGGAAGCGGAGATCACAGAGCTACCTCTGAGACTCCTTCTAGTAGGGAAGCACTTTCCCTCCCGCTCTGCCGTACCGGAGTAACCTTTGCCGCACAACAGTCAAACCCGTACTCTGATTATCAGAGCCGGAATTTTGTTCAATTAAGTGCAGAACCCAATTGAAAGTGTTGGGTTATTTTGCTGTTTTTGTTGTTGTTCAGTCATTGGGGGACCGGCTGTGAGACCAATCAACCTCGCTAACATTTGAGACAACCCAGTGTAAATCTTGGTCGGTGGCTGTAACCCAGATAGGGACCCATGACCCTCAAAACGCTTCCTGCTCGAGGTCCTCCGACCTTCCGATCCAACCCGGCCACCTTCCTGCGTTTCGTAAACTTTGTGCGGTCAAACAAAAGCGACGCGGCGCGAGTGAGGAACAAAAACACAACCGGCGGCGTCGCGCGGAAACAAAAACAAAGAACTCTCACAGCACTGGGCGCCGGGCCCACACACACGCAAGGCGTGCGTATACGCACATGCACAAGGTGTGCGTACACACACACAAGGCGTGCGTACGCGCACACACACAAGGCGTGCGTACACGCACACACGCACAAGGCGTGCGTACACGTACACGCACAAGGCGTGCGTACACGCACACGCACAAGGTGTGTGTACACGCACACGCACAAGGTGTGTGTACACGCACACACACAAGGTGTGTGTACACGCACACACACAAGGTGTGTGTACACGCACACACACAAGGTGTGTGTACACGCACACACACAAGGTGTGTGTACACGCACACGCACAAGGCGTGCGTACGCGCGCACGCACGCGGTGCACAGACCTCGCCGTGCGCAAGCAGAATCGACTTATCGCCCTGGAACTGGAACTCAAGCTGACCCAAAAAAAACGAGGAACGGGTCTGCACGTGCGTGCTCACGCGTTCTCGCGCGTGCTCGCGCGTGCTTTTTTTAAACCTAATTTTGGTTTGTCGTGAAACCCGCAATTATAGCGGCGCTTTAAGAACCAAAAGCTGAATGCTTCCCGACGACAACGTCGGTGAATCGACTGGCTCCGTCTCGGCGACTCCAACAATTCCAAACGGGCGTCAATTTCTGCTTCGCCGGCGGGACGATGTCACGTGTAAGGCATTTGGGGGGTGGTGGGGGGGGGGGCCGGCGGGCGGTGGTGAGACACGCACACACCACACAAACCTGGACAGGTACAGAGAACACTGAGGGACAGGTGAGAGTGTCAGAATGTTTATGTGTACACCAGTGGGGGGGGGGTGCGGGGGGGAACGGGCTCAAGCGCATGACTATCAACATTGTCGGCTCGAGTCCAAGCGAAACGGGAAGGCTGCGCGAGGAACCGAGAACCAAACCCCCAAAAATATCCTCCGCCGCAATTTGTCGCGGTTTTTTTGTCGTTGCCGAAGTCGGTCGCCCCCTCCCGCATCCCCCGCGACGCCGCCGGAATTTACCCAGGGCGAAAACGCGCCGCTCGGGAGAAACCGGGCGTCAGCGGCTCGCATTGTTTAAGCCACCCCTATCAGCGACAATGCGGAAATCCCCGCGGCGTCGGGGACGCGCAAGTTCGTCGACAGCCAAACGAAAGAGGCGAAAAGGCACCGGTTGGCGAGTGCGGGGATAACCGGAGGTGATGGTCATGGAGTTTGGGGGTGGGATAAGAAACCTTTTAAAAGTTAAATAATAATAATAAAAAATGCCGTTGAACTGAATGGGACTCTCACGGCACGATACAAACGGAAGACAAACGACAAAAGATAGAGAACCAAAAAAAAAACGAGAGGAAAACATAATAACTTTGGACACTCCAGACTTTAACCACCACATCACAAACCGGCATGCGTTTGTAATAGTCGCACTTACCACCAGATATAAGACAAGAGGCAATTGAGGGGAAGGAAGAAAAGGGGAGTTTCGTTAACAAAAATCCCAAGGCAATGGCATAAAAAAATATTAATATTATTATATCTACGGGCACTTTTGAGCAGCGTTAAAATTTCATTTTTGGAAGAATTTTTTTTCTCTCTTCTCCACAAATAAAAATCCACGCAAGTCACAACGTTCAAGAGTTGTATAATGTTGCACGGTTCTCGCCTGTGCGCAGAGTTAGCAGCAACTTCACCCGCGGGTCGCAGACGCCAACGCCTGGCGGAACTTCCCCACGCGCGCACCAATTACCGATAATCAGCCCGTGACATTTGAGCACTCACTCGTCGCTTCCACGGTGGCTAGGGGATGTTAACTACCTCGTTAAGTATGGAGGAGGTTGTGGGTTCGATCCCGATCCTGACGCCTGCTGTACATTTGGATTTTGCGTGTCTCTCTCTCTCTCTCTCCCTGTGGTCGTGTGGATGTTTCTCCGGGTCCTCCGGGTTTTTCCTTCCACATTTAGAATCAATATCACGTGTTTAGAGCATGTGGCTGCTATAAATGTCCACGCGATAAGCCACTTCGTTGACCTATCATTTGTGATAGCCAGGTCGCTTCTGAAACAAGAGCTACAGAGCTCAGTGGGCCTTACTTGGAAAAATAAAAACTAAAAGTTGAGTAATTGTTTTCCCACCTTCTAGCTCGACACGCTGGTTGACACCTCGCCTGCAAAGCATTCTCTCAGATATTTTTACGTCAACGTTACCTGGCTCACTTAACCAGACATTGTCCCTTGCAACACAAGAGCAAATTACATTTGCATTTGACGTACCCAAATTTAACACAAGAGGCTCTCACCTCGTCATAAATTAACGTCTCGTTTACTCAACGCCAACGACGATGCGTGTTTTTAGCTCGGGGAGGAAATCAGAGAAGCCACCAAACTCTCCCATCGCTACGACCACGCTGACGGTTCCCGTGAAACTTGGCTCGCCGATTCCTCCACCGCCCGTGTTGAGGACTGTCTCTACCAGACGGTCTCATCTACCACCACACTACCACCATCCTGCACATCACAAAAACTCACCCGCCCACCACCTCACCTCGCACCTCCACACGCACCCGTCGCCTCACTCACCTACTCGCAGACCCACCACCTCATCCACCTACTCTCTACCAGTGCAGGTCACCACCTCACTTCTTCCATCACACTGCCCCACTCTGGAATTCAGCTCCCATGATCGTCTCTCCCCCCAAGCCCCACTCCCTCTAAACTCTCATAACAACCTTGCTCGATTCAAGAAACCTATTATGCCTGTTGACCTATTACTCCTTCAAAGAGTGCCGTTTGTTGCTGGCCACTCAGCATCCTGGGCCTTTGCTCTGCTGAAGAGGTTCTGCTCTCTTTTTCTCTTTACAAATACGCCGTGACATTGGCGCAAGTGGGAATGCCAGCGAAATACCGGAAATCCTTGACAAGAGGAGCGAGTGGCGGCGGCGGCGATGAAGATGGCATCGTTGTTTCCCAACGTTTAATCGTTTATTTCCGGGGCCCTGTGCTGAACCGCAAATTAATTCAATTTGGGCGCCTCCCCCTCCCTGCTCCCCCCTCCGCATCCACGACGCCCCTCCCCCCCCCCCCCCGTCACCAACGCCGACTTCTACCCACAGGGAGAACACGGTGGCGAGATGTAACCAACTCGTCTGGTATACCCGAGTTTGTGGGTTCGATCACGACCCCGACACCTGTTGTAGATTTGGAGTTTGCAAGTTCTCCCCGTGGTCACATGGCTTTTTCTCCGGGTTGCCCTGGTTTTCCCTCCACATTTAGAATCCAAATCACGCGTTTAGAGTGTTTGGCTGCTATACATTTCCACGTGGTGATGATGACAAGCCACTTCGTTGAGCTATCATTTGTGATGGCCAGATGCTTCTGAAAAAGAGCTGTATAGCTCAGTGGGGCCTTATCCGGTAAATGAAAAATATTTTACGCTTATAGTTTAGTTTAGAATGAGATCCCAGCTACCTAAACAACAGTCATGCCTCTAGAGCGACTGCTGTTGGCCGGCGTGGTGCTGGCCACCCACCCTCTCGTGTGCCATTCCGGCCTTCATAGGTGCTCGCTAACAGCACTTTCCCCAACAGTCTATTACAGGCTACACGGGGGATCTTTGTCTTTGTTTGTTGTGTGTGAGAAAGCACACCAGCCTTTTGCTGGGTACAATAACATTTCCATTAAACATAAAACCGCTCATTTAAAAAAAACACATGTCTTTCACACCTCTCTATCCTCCCCACCGTGCCAGGCGACAGGCTAACGCATGCCAGGTGCGGCCGAGGGGAGTGGCTACTTAGGGAGTGTCTATAGCTAAACAAATGGCCACTGTTTACAGATGCGCCACTGACACCTAAAACAAAAAGGTAAGAACACCGGAGGCCGTAGAAATTCACGACACCACTTCTTCGCCACAATCTCTCTACACTTCATCGGGCATCCCCAACTGCTCACGGAACCCCTAATATACCACCCAATGCTAATCCCTCAAACCCCTACAGCCGCTTTTTTAGGTGTCCGGGGGGGGGGGGGGGGTGGGGTGGGGGGGTGAGGTGGGGGGCAGGCTAACCAAGCGGCAGGATGCCACCCTCCACACGGTAACGAAAAAAACCAACACAAAATGCTTGAGCGCAAGGCGGTTTCCTCCCGGAGGCCTGCACGTGGCGCTGTTAAGCGTTGCGGAGGCACGTGCGCAACGCCTGCGTACCGTCGGGCACGTCGTCAGGCTTCTTGCGCTTCTCGTAGATGAAGATGATGGCGATGAGGATGACCACCTCCGCCACGATGCCCAGGAAGGGCCACAGGGCGGCGAGGCGGCTGCGCACACGCAGCAGCATGGTGTGCGTGGCAGTGCCCTCGCTGTTGGTGGCCTGGCACGTGTACTCCCCGCCGTCCGTGTCCACCACCAGGCCGTGCAGCGACAGCACCGTCTGGTTGCCGGTGCTGGCGATGGCGAGCCGCCCGTCGCGCGAGCCGTTAGCCACCACCACCACGTCCTGGCGGGTGTCACCCACGTTGGCGAGCGAGCAGAGGAGAGAGTACAAAATCAATACATACACGGGAACGCCTCTGGTTATGAACAAGTTAGGTTCCAGGTCTGTTCGTAAGTCAATCTGTTCTTAAGTCCAACTTTACTCCTGTCGATTCGCAAACACGTTGTACGGCATGTACACTGAACACGGGGAATAGTGGCTTTAAATGTTGTTAAATCTCCTGCAGATGTCACCACCGCCATCGATTGCGCAGCGGTTGACCTTACGACTCTCGGTCAGAGCAGGCAACTGGACATACGGACAGGTTTGTTCGTATCTCTGAATGTTCGTAAGTAGAGGAGTCTCTGTATATAAATATATATGTACTCTTAGTCGTCACTGATTTATGGGCGCCGTGCGGAAATTAAGCGAAGCATCCTGGGAAACGGTAGAGGGAAGAGGCCCCAGTGGAAAAAAGTGAATGAGGTCATAAACTAAAAACTATTTTTATTTTATCAGGTGTAAGGCCCCACTGACCTGCTATACAGCTCTTTTTTAACAAGCGACCTGGCTATCACAAATGCTAGCTCAACGAAAGTGGCCTACCATCGGGAAATTTAGAGCAGCCATATACTCTAAATGCATTCTAAATGAGTGAAAAACCGGATCACCCGGAGAAAAATCCACGCAACCACGGGGAGAGACACGCCAACTCAAAATATACATACAGCAGGCGTCAGGGTCGGGGTTAAACCCACGACCTCATGTATATGAGGTGAGGGAGATAACATCTCACCACCGGGGCATCCGATTCACTCACTCGCCCATTTGCGTGCGTGAGTGAATAAGCGAGCGAGTGGTTAAGCGAGTGTGTTGAGTATTTGGCTGCTGTTAGGAGGGGACGCGCACTGACATCATTGTCTCTGGGCTTGTAACTCCAGGTCCAGTCGACGTCCGGGTAGCCGTTGCACTTGCACACCAGCTCAGCGGCGTCGCCTTCTCCATGGTTCTCGGACTTCTTGTGGGTCGTGATGTCTGGCCAAGCTGCACACGCAGCACGCACACACGCACAATCCAGTCATTCTCGCAGCAGCAGCGGCGGCGGCACCTTCTGGCTAACCTTCGGACAAAGACGGGTCACCGCATCGCGCGGTGCTTTCGGATGCGCTTCTGCGGCCGTCTGGAACACTTTTTCTCGCGACGTTAGGAAGCTTCTAGATTTGAGGTTTTCGTGACTGCAAGGATCCATATTCTCTGGTTCTTTCGGTAAAGTCACGTTGGTGGGAAAAAATAAAAAAATAAACTAAATCACGACGTTTTGATTGCAACACAAGCAATCATCATCAGGTGTGACACAACCACAGCAAGAGATATTTTTTACTCAAGAGGGAGAGAAGCCAGAGTTAGGGGCGGTTAAATAACTCAGAGAGGGGTGGGGGGGGGGAATGGGAGGGGGCGAATGGGGAGAGGAAGGTCGATCTCTGCAGGGACGCCGAGAGCGGAGAAGCGACACGATTGCTGCCAAGATAGATGATTGTGTCCACAGCAAAATAGCCGTACTGCTAAACGCTGAGGATGCAATTAACTCGGTAAAATAGACTAGACTAGTACCCGGTAAACAAGATGGAAACTATGAACAGTTAAAAATTTTACTTGGTTAATAACATCTTTCCAATGATTACATTTATTTTATTTTTTTATTATTTTCCCCACCTACGCGATTTTACCGAAAGAACCAGAGAATGAATATTAGGAAACTTACTGGAGCGGTGAAGTTTTAAATCACCTAGATTGAAAACGCATTTCTTTTTAACTGCGTTTTGTGTTTAGTTTGTTGTCCTTCCCTTGCACCTCCAATAAGCACGGTTGGCTACGTACGGTGTGAAAAAAGGTCAACATACATGCAAACACATGAGCATTCAAACACACGAAAACAAAGATCCCCCATAGCCTTCAACAGACTGTTGGGGGAAGTGCTGTTAGCGAGCGCCTATTAAGGCTAGAACGGCACATGAAGGGGTGGGTGGCCAACACCACGCCCGGCCGCTTTTGTCTCCCTGTTGCCAATATTTTTATACATTGTATCAGGTACTCAATTGAGGTCGAGTCGACCTAGGGGAGGCCTATGACCGGTTCAGATAATCGTCACTGATGTTGGCCGTGAGCGGGAATCGAACTCCGGGTCGCCGCGTTCAAAGCGCAGCGCGCTAACCGCTACACTAGCGCTCTCCGCTATGCACGTGTACATGCATATATGGCCACCACGCACGCACACACACACACCAGTTACAATGCAATGGTTTATCATTAGCTATGGGAAGAAACTAGATAACCCAGGAGGAAACACGAGCGCACACGCACGCACACACGCACACGCAATCGCCACGCAGAAAAAGGCGCCCGAGGTCGGGAATCGAACCCGGTCCCCCCTCTTGCTGCGCGATTGTTTTCCGGCGTGCTGCCAGCCCCACCACCGTGCCGCCAGCCCCACCACCGTGCCGCCAGCCCCACCACCGTGCCGCCCGCCCGCCCGCCCGCCCGGTCTCGCGCCCGTCATGCCGGCCCCACCACGCCACACATACATTTCACGGTGATGTTGCCCTTGGCAGGGGGCGAGGTTTGGAAGACGCAGACGTAGACGCCCGAGTGCTCGGCCTTGGGTTTGGTGATCCTGCAAAGGAGAGGGAGGGAGGGACGACACAAGAGCTTGGTTGCTGTGGGTGGCATGGGGGGCGAACGCCGACCAGGGGGTGGGGGGCGGGATGTGGCAGTTGATTTTCATCAGCGAAGCCGGCTTCCTCTACCCCTAGATTGACAAACTAATTTCTTTACAACTGCTTTTTGTCATTAGTTTTGTTGTCCTTCCCCCCGCACCTCCGAATAGCACTGTTGGCGATGTACGGTGTGATAGAAGTTCAACGTGTATACGTAATGCCTGAAGCGACTAGAGGCCGCTACATTCGCAAAAGTATTAAAACAATTAAACTGGGAGACCCCCGGGTTTAGAACCCGTCCTCGGCAGGAAGTTGACCTTCAAATCGTTCCATCACAAGTTGGGCAATGATTCAACCCGCTAGCGTCCACCACGCTAATTGTTGCCGCGGTGCGCATTACCAATCGACTCGGTCTTTTCCCCCCCCCCAAATAAAAGAGCTGCCAAACAAAGGAGTGCTGCTGGTGATCTCTCCCACAAAGGAGCTTCTATGTTGAACTCACAAACACGCGGAGAGCCAAAGTCGAGCCAAGCATTGAAAATCGAACAACCTTTGATCCCGCGTTACTTTGTTGGTAAATGACGTGGCAGGGGAGGAGGGTAGTGGCTGGCTCACCAGTGGCGACCACAATGGACCATCAAGCCAATGACCCCAGTTCGATAGCCAGATGGGAGAGGCAGCGGGGGCGGTGTGTCACAAACCACCACTTGAACAGCTGCTGCTTCTGAGCATCTCAAACGACGACGGTATGGCACACCCAACATGTATGTTGAACTTCTTTAGCACCATACGTAGCCAACCGCGCTAAATTGGAGGTGTGGAAGATGGGAGGTAGACAAATGCAAAGGTGCAACTCTGCAATCGGCTGCTCAAGCCACAGTGCCGGCGACATCATTGGAGGAACCCCACCACTGAAGTGAGCTCTCTCGGAGGAGCTGGAGGAGAGAGGGAGGGCATTCTGCCCATCTCTTCTTCTTTCACTCCGGGGCGGATAGCGATGGGGAGGGGGCAGATTTAAGAAAGTCCAGTCGGACGCTGATCGCTACAACTCCCACAGCAGGGTGTGCGGCAAACTGTGCATCACTAACGGGCACGAGGATCGCATGGCACGGCTCGCACAGCACGGCACACGCACGCACGGCACACCCAGCTAAAACATTCTGGCAAGGGCCAAATAACCAGATAAAGTCACTCAACGATTGCACGCTGTGCTATTGGGGCGCCACGGTGGCGTGGTGTTGTCAACTACCTCGCCTGGTATATAGGAGGTCGAAGGTTTGATCCGGACCCTGACGCCTGCTGTATATTTGGAGTTACCGTCTCTCTCTCTCTGTGGGTCCCCCCCACATTTTAAATCAACGTCACGTGTTGACAGCATAGTGGCTGCTGCTATATATATATATTTCCACATGATGACAAGCCACTTCGTTGAGCTATCATCGATAGCCAGGATGCTTTTGAAAAAGAGCTATATAGCAGCTGAGTGGGGCCTTACCTGGTAAAATAAAAATAGTAGTAAGATATGAACCTGGGCGAGCCAAGGCTAACATCACAAAACACGCACTGACCAGGGTGGTGATGTATGGCCAAAAAAAATAATTAAACGATCGAAGCGGGAACCCATTCATATCATTGGCGGATTGACAGATTGAGAAATGGTAGGGAATTATTTTTTAAATTCACGAATTAAATTGTCATAATGCGACCGTACCCCCCACTCTCATCTCCGCCCCCCAAAAGACAAAGATCCCCCGTATAGCCTCAACAGCCTGCTGGGGCCAAGTGCTCCGAGTGAGACGCACCTACGAAGGGCGGCACGGCACGCGAGGGGAGTGTGGGTGGCCAGCACCACGCCCGGCTGCCTTTGCCACCCCAGGTGGCGATTTTTACCCCACCGCAATAGGTACAGGCCGAGTCGACCTAGGGGAGGCCCAGGACCGGTTAATATAAACGTCACTGCTGTTGGGCCGTGAGCAGGAATCTAACTCGGGTGGGTGGGTTCGTAGCACAGTGCGCTAACCGCCGGACTACCGCTCCACACACACACACAGACGTGCGTGCGCTCAATCCCCAACAAACCCCCACAAAAAACGCATTGGCAACATCGATTTCGCCATTGTCGCGATTCTTCCCCCAATTTTCCGCGGGCAATTTGCGGCGACAACAACAACAAAAAAGCACCCAGCTTGTTCAAATCGGCCGCACGCCCTCCTTGCCACCAGCCCAGCGAGTGCCAGTGTGGGAAGCGACATCGCTTGTGCGTGGCAGATTTACGGATCCTCCTGCCCGGAGGAAATGGTACGCCATTTTGCGTCGTCAAGGTCGTTCCCAAGGGCACGGGGGGGGGGGAAGAGATTAGCGATGACCGGGAAATGAAGCGCGAAAAAAATATTCACACGTACTGCATGGATTCTGGAACGCTTCCAACGCATTTGTCCTCAGAAGTGTTTGGTTAGCGTGATGGGTCGTTTCTGATTTCCTCCCAGACGGTGGCTAGGAGATGTTATCTCCCTCGCATAGTATGCATGAGGTCGTGGGGTCGCCCCAGACCCGAACGCCCCGCTGTATATTTGGAGTTTGTGCGTCTCTCTTTCCCCGTAGTCGCATGGATCGCTGGAGGTCGACTTAATAATGTCAAGGGCGTTCCCAAGGGCACGGGGGTCTGACACAGCGATGAGCGGGAGAAGATTCGTGCGTAGAGCGTGGATTCTGTAACGCTTACATTGTGCGTTTGTCCTCAGAAGCGTTTAGTTAGCGTGGTGGGTTGTCTCCAATTTCCTTTCACACGGTGGCTAGGTGACGTTATCTCTCTTGCCTGGTATGCAGAAAGTCACGGGTTCGATCCCGACCCTGACGCCGGCTGTATTCTTTGGATTTTGCATGTTCTCCCTGTGGTGATAAGCCACTTCGTTGAGCTATCATCTGTGGCCAGGTCTCTTCGGAAACAGAGCAGTATAGCTCAATGGGCCTTATTCTTGAAACGTAAGTGGCCCAGGCCAACTTCCATTTCTAAACAACGACCATGCTTTTAAAACCAAGTTCTGTAATCCACGTGTGCAATGCAAAATATAAGTTTGAATTATTAGTTTCATTAAAACATTCCAGGGATATGAGATTGGTGAGGAGAGTCGTTTTGAGGCCAAAAAACTTTCCCCCAGGTGATGACTGTTAATAATTAACGAGCGGTGTAAGGGATCTGCCAGCCGCCCTCACGCACACGCACCACACAGACATGAAATCTCCGCTCTCAGTATAACACACGCACCAATCACACGCACGGGAATACACTAGACGGGGGTCAAGGGTTAGAGGGCACTGACGTCACCCAGACCAGGCGTGCTAGACGTGGATGTGTATTGGGAACGAGGGCGGAGATGAAGGGGTTAAAAGGGGCTGCGAGACGCGTGTTTGGGGTTGCTTTTGGAACGAGTGTGGCTGTGCGTTGGAGAAATAAAGAAGTGCCTAACCAGTCTCCGACTCCTCTTCACAGGGACAAGAGATTGGAGAGGAGAGTCGTTTTGAGGCCAAAACACTTCCCCCCAGGTGATGACTGTTAATAATTAACGAGCAGTGCATCAGACAGCCAGCATCCATGGATTTGGGTCACAGCGAGGACTACACATCAAAGACAAAGATCCCCCATTAAGACTGTCGGGGCAAGTGCTGTTCGCGAGCACCTATGAAGGCCGGCACGGCACACGAGGGGGTGGCTGGCTAACACCACGCCTGCATGCCTTTGTATCCCCAGTGCTGATGTTTTACATACCGGACCAGGTACCCGTCAAAGGCCGAGTTGACCTAGGGGTTTGCCCAGGACGGGTTTAAATATTTCGCCACGGTTACTGGTCGCGAGCGGGAATGGAACTTGGGCCACCTGGCTCATCGAGCAGTGCGCAAATCACTTTGCCACTGGCTCCCCCCGTCTCTCTCGCACAAAGACAAAGTTAACTACCTCGCCTGGCATACAGGAGGTCGTGGGCTCAATCGAGACCAACGCCTGCTGCACATTTAGAGTTTGTGTGCGTCTCTCCCCGTGGTCATGTGGATTTTTCTCTAGGTCCTCCGATTTTTCCTTCCGCATTTATAAATAAACGTGAGTTGCGAATTTGGCTGCTGCTGTAAATTTCCACGTGAAAAGCCCCAACGTTGAGCTATCATTTGTGGCCAGGTCACTTCTGAAAAATAGTTTTACAGGAGATCATAGATTATCTGGCGGCTTCGGGGGGGAAAGGGGTTCGCTGTATTTAAAAAAAAACGCTGGATAATCACTCATCATGATTAATTTAAAATAGCTTATTTTTGCACATTCTTGTATAAGAATTGTTTGTAGGTGTCGTGTGTATGTTTCTTTTTTGTGTTGCACATCTGTTTGCTATTTGGAATAAAGATTAAATCATAAAAAGTTACTGTATTTACTGTACCGTACTTACCACTCCATTCTCGAAGACTCTGCATGGGGTGATATACATACAACGTACGTCTTGTTTCAACATGTTTCGAAAATAGCCGGACTGATACAGCCTTCAGACCGGCGCTCCGTGAACGCTGATTTACACGCACTTTTCGCCGGATCCCACTGTATATTTTGTTTTTATTCCTCTACTTATTAGTCATGTGAAAATGTGGGTGTATATATATACACACACATGCAGTATGTGAATTGTTTAAGTTGTTCCATGTCACGTATAATGCACCGTATATAATCTATGAACACCGAAATCGAGCAAAGCCACTTTTGTTGTCACTCCCATGGTGCCGATCGCCGGACCGGTTGGTTAGAGCCTTCGGTTTCGCCGGATCGGCCCGGGGACCACCAAATAATGTTGAAAGGCGGATAATCGCGCGTCGGATCATCGATGATCAACTGTAAAAATATATATAGCTCAGTTGAGGCCTCACATGGTGAAGGAAATAAAAAAAACAGTTGAAATAGATTTAAGCTTTAGCTTTGACTCACGTATAGTCCAAGGTGACGATGCGTGAGGCGGTGATCTCCACCATTTGCTCCGTCCCGGCGATCTTCTCTCCGTCTTGCTCCCAGTAGCAATTGATCTCGTGCGCCGAAAACGGCTGGGGCAGCGTGAGGTTGCACTGCAGCCTCTCCTCCGTCGTTTTGTTGGACAGGGTGATGTCGGGCGACGTTTTGATATCGTAATCTGTCGTTTGTGGAGGGGGGGGGGGGCGGTGGTCGGGCGGGGGGGGGGGAGAGGTACCGACTCATGTTAAGCTCGCAGTAGTAATGTTTTTTTTTTTAACCTCTTTTTGCCACTGGCACACAATCCGAGCCGTGCTGGCCATGTGCCGAACCAACGTGGCGCTGGTCCGGGAAGGGTACGAGTTTGGTTGCTTCAAACGCGCGATCCCCACATTACGCGCGCAATTCGTGATATCAAGACGCACGTGGATGGCGTCGTTTAACGTGACATCACGCGTTGTGCAACGTCACTAGCCGCCCTCCCCCCCAGGGCCAGAGAGAGGCACGGCTGGCGTAACAGGACAGGTATAAAAGTGCCAGTGGGAAAACAACCCGTTACCGTGCTGGCAAAGCTCAGAAAGGGCAAGTGGACAAAAGGGGATATTGGACGTAACCCTCCACAAGGCGAAACCCAGCAGCGGTTATCACTGGGGAATGTATTGCGGCCAGATGCCCTAGGTGTGATGCCGATTCTCAATGTGGAGGGGAAAAACCGGAGGACCCGCATCAAAAATCCACGCGATCCACGGGGGCAGAGTGACAGACACCACAAACTCCACATATACAGCAGGCGCGAGGGTCGGGTTCGAATCCCACTGCCTCCTGTCCACCAGGCGAGGTAGTTAACATCTAGCCACGGTGTGGCACCACTCGGGAGTCTGACTAAATTTACAATGGAATCCATGAAACCTCACCGACCGAGACTCGACTAAATAGCCCACCTGTGGGGTCACGGACCAGACTGAGACCGAAGACTACTACGATGAAGAACGCCCAACTGCATCAGGGAGTGGGGCAGGTGCGAGCAATGTTCACCGCGCAAACCAGTTTTTGTCGAGCGCCCGTGCAGTTTTCTGCACTGGATTTCATTGGAGCTGTCATGTGGAACGGCGGGGGTGCGTGCCCTCTTCTCACGCTAAGTCCCAACTATCCTCAGGCCGAACGATAAAGGCAACGATGATCATGATGATGCTGCTGATTACGATTAGGATTACATTCCTGTTGGTATGTGAATAACGATTTGCAAATATAAAATATTTTTTGTCCTCAGGGTAAAGATGTGGGGGGCTAGCAGCAGTGGGTAGCGCAGAAAAAAACTGTTGTACTATACTGCAAAGCTCCCAAGTCCCATGCTCCTCGTCATCGCCAACTCATCGTACGGTCAAAAAACCCCACCCACAACCCACAAGGTCTGGTGGGGCCTTCATCGAGCAGTGAATTGACACAGTGGGTAATTCTTCATGGATGTACTCCAGCTTTCAAGGCAGATCTTCACGTATAGGTTTTTTTAATTAAAAAAAATCGGTTCGCACTTTCGACGTTTTGACTTTGCACTTTTGTTTAGCTGCTCATCACTTGGGTGCGCTAGCCGGACGGACTGCTCACAAAACGACGTAAAACACACACAGTTGGGGTTCTTCCATCAGCAGTTGGTAAAACCTCAAATCATAAATGAAAAAGACTAAAACTACAACTTGACACGTAACAAAGGGAAAGGATGGAGGGTACCGGATAGTTCAAACTAATAAGCACAAAAGTTATGTTGATAAAAAAATAAAAGATTAGCCTAATCCTGGGCTCTTCAACTCGATTGCATACGGTGGGGGTCAACCCGTAAAGCTGGCGCGGTGCCGTCGCAATGACACGGAACGTGGAGCCGCGACACTTCAGAGCAGTCTGTTCTATTTCTGTGACCAGTCACAAGCTAATCATTCAGCCATTTCAATGCTAAATTATATGCTAATTCCTTTGTCAAGGCGCTTTGTTCCTCTCACACAGCTTAAAGGCCGTATCTGAACGTGGCTCTTTCACTCCAGCGCTGTCCTACCAGACAGTCTCGCCCCCTTCACCTGATGAAGGCCGCTTGTGTTGTGGCCGAAACGTCGTGAGAATATTATTGTGTTATTTTATTTTATCAATTTATTATTTTATTATCATTCTACGTGACTTTACCGAAAGAACCAAAGAAGATGAATCATTGCAGTCACGAAAGCTTTAAATCGAAATTCAGTCTGTTCTCCTACAAGACAGGAGAAGTAGTCGTGGCGTTCCTGACGAACAATCAATTATTATTAAAAAAACGACATAATATGGGGGGGGGGGGGTAAAGCACGGTCTGCGATAACACGCGAGATGCTTAAGGCAGGGCCGAACAAAGACCGAGGCGCGTGGGATAGCGTCTAGGAGCATCCAGCAGCATCCTAACACCTTGTTGCGATGCTACGCCGGAGGCGGCAGTTACGACAACCGCTCATTCCTACTCGCGCGGACGTGGTTCTGGTCACTCGATCGTGTTCACATGAAGCCAATTCGCGTTATTAGGAGAACAGACTGCAGAAACGTCGTGTCGTCACACTGTGCCACTGCAACGTCACAGCATACGTGTCGCCACTCGTCGGTGGAGGTCTTTTCCAGCCCTTTCCGGTCTTCTGCTCTTTTCGTAGCTCTCTCTCGCTCACTTATCACATTTTTGATGAATGCATCTTCATCTCCTGCCTACATTTTTTTTTAATTAAAATCTAAACCCAAAACTCGTTTCTTTAGAAGTGCTTTTTGAGTTTAGTTTGTCATCCCTCCCCCTGCCCCTCCCCCCCACCGGCACCACCAATTAGCATGGTTGGCTACGTACGGTGCATAAACTTCAACACACAGTACATACTGCCCATATACTAACAATGCCCATAGACTTAACACTTCACCTCCGATTAGCACCGATGGCTAAGTACGGCGCAGAAAGAAGTTCAACATACATGCATACAACATCCGCAACTTACCTCTCTCGCTAACCCCGCATCTCCCCCATCTGTCCAGGTGAACTATACAGCTCTGCGTGAGTCACAACAAAGACAACCTTCATGGGCCAGATGTCCGCCGACCCCATGAGGCCCCCTTCCATTGAAGAACCCTTGGCTTAAACCAACAACCACCAAACAACAAACACAGGGACGGACGGGGCGGATGGGGCTTGGACAAACGGACTGAGCGAGCGAACGGGAAGACGACAGCAGCAGAGAGAAAGGGGGCTTGGACTTAAGCGAGTAAAAAGCAATCGTTGAGGGTTCATTGGGAGATCATTTTCCGGCAGGAGCGGCCCGGAGGGGACACGGTTGGCGCCGACGGGAGGAGGAGGAGGAGGAGAAACGTCGGTTTTCCAAGGGGAGGATCATCATCTTGCTGAGGAGGAGGACGAGGAGGACGAGGACCACGGTGAGGGAGAAACTTGCTGGGGAGGCCGACGGCTACGCGTCGCAGGATGACCACCGTGGAGAGAGGGGGGAGGTGTGCAGTGGAAGAGATTCGGGAGCTGTGCTACTTAAAAAAGAAAAATACTCAAAGCAAAGGTGGAAGTGGGCGATAAAATAATAATAAAAAATGGTGATGATAATAATAAGGAAATTAATTAAATAAAATTGCGTGGGGAAACAACCTTCCCGCGGCAGGAATTTCCACAAAACGTTAAGACGTCAAGGCGCGACCTTTAAAAAAACGGCGAACTGCAAAAAACTGCGTCCCCTGGTCAATAATAGCGAATGAGGGGGCGCGCTCGCAAGCCCCAGAGCCGGCACCACGCCGACGGTTCCGCCAACCGAAGTAAAATTAAACTACGTTGGCTTTTTTTTATCTTACCGGGTAAGGCCCACCCAACTGAGTCTACGTAGCTCTTCATAAGAAGTGTCCTACCCATCATAAACAATAGCTCATCAACGTGGAAATTTATAGCAACAGTCAAATTACGCTCAAGAACACACCGCAAAAGTCGCCTGCGATTTACTGAGAAAATGGATGAACCGAGGCGGCAAATCGTCAATTTTGGCGGTCACGAAAGAGCCGTGGTTCTTTGTGTTTAGTTTTATTGTCCCCCCCCCAGCCTAACGCCGCACCTCAGATTTGGCGCGGTTGGCTATGTACGGGCAGTGCGAAAAAAGTCTAGCGTACGTGCATACACTAAGATTACAGTTCGGGACAATTGTTGCCGGCAATCATCACCGGCAATGTATTTTACGACGAACAACTATACGGGCAACTTAGCAGGCAAATCGCAAAATGCTGTGGTAAATGGCAGAGAACGAGAAGACTTCCTTAAAATCCAATAAAAAATTAGCTTGCTGAAACGTCTATTGGATGCACAATGGCTGGTCTATTGAGAATACAAACCCCCGTTAGTCACGTGACCTCTGCAAGCAATCCGATTATGGCAGTTGGTTATTAAGTTGGCGGGGGGGGGGGGGAATGTCTTTTGTTGTTGCAGCAACAACCGTCACCGAAGCAACAATCGCCGGTGACGAGAGCCCTGGGTGTTCATTTACTTAGTTTTGTTATCGCATTATCGCCCACCCTGGTGCATCGCAGCAGCCTTCTGGACACCAGCACAGCTCGCAAACCGGTTCCACGTGCCGACACCGTCTCGAGCCCCGCCGGGTCGTCTTGCGAGCGGCGACGCCGTCGACCAAAGCGCCGCCGGCGCTCCCCTTCGGCGCCGGCAAAAGCGCGAGCGAGGCGGCGGGGTGGGGTGGGGGGGGGGGGGCACTCACGCGGGACGACCCGGATCGTTGCCTGCGCTCGGATCCAGCTCATGGCCGGGTTGCGGCGAAAGTCGTTGCGCTGCGGGGCGTTGCTGGCGCGGCACTCGTACACGCCCGAGTCCTCGGGCGCGAGCGCCGCGATGCGCAGGGCGCTGGCGCCGTTTGAGCCGTAGGCCGTGGTGACGGAGACGCGACGCCGGCGCGCGCCCTCCCACAGCTGCCGGAAGGCGTCCATGTGGTTGGTCTCGGCGAACCACCACTGCAGCTCCGGCACCGGCGAGCCCACCACCTCGCAGAACAGCTCGGCCGAGTCGCCGGTGAACTTCGTCTCCGACATGGGCGACTTGGAGAAACCGACTGGGTGCCGCCATTGTGTTTTGGTTTTTTTTCCAATGTGTGTGCGCGGCGCGCGCGTGTGTGTGTGTGTGTGTGCGTGCGT